CATATGTAAGTATGTTTTATCAGAGAAATGAGTTTTAGATATTTAAAAAACTAACTATGAGTTAGAAATATCCTCAGGGACTCTGAATTATGCTAGTGAATTTGAAAAAAATGTAATAGGTTATAGATAATTTGCATTTACCATACAGTTATTTAACTAATAGTGTGAATTGAATAATGTCCTAAAACTTCTGAAATTATACCCAATAGTTATTTTTTCAAAACATACAGGAGCAGTTGGCATTTATCACACATAGCTATTCAGCTAAAAGCTTGACATTACGAGTGATGGTTTTCTGCATTGGACCTGAGTGACTCTTAGACCCATGCAGGAACCTTCTAGTGAGAGATTATTTTAAATGAATAATTTTCAACAATTAAAGGCCTTTGGATCAAGTTCAGTTTGGTTTCATCAGTGGAGTTAGAGCAGTTTTAGTGGATTCACTTGGAACCTGGTAGGAAGAGGTGTCAGATGAACATTCTTAGTGGTTAGTGCTTGGCTACAAAAGATGAGAAAATCTCTCAAAGTGCTTTGAGTTACAGGCCTAGATAGGTTTCAGAGGAGGTTTATGTTCACTCTAATGTGTCTTCTTTGCTTAACTATGAAACTATACTACGGGCCCAAACATGAGTTTGGCTTTCAAAATTAAGCACAGTGACAAACATATACTTAATATTTATGACAGTAATTTATAAACTTAGTTAACTCCAGAAACCTGTGGTTGGAAAATAGTTTTTGCTTTGTCAGTATGAAGCATGCAATGACATATGGCCCATGCTTTTCTCAATGCTCAGCAAACACTAAATTTTTACATTATTTAAAAGCTGTTCTAGTTTTCTTGCTTTTTAATGAATGTTAAACAAATTTCTGAACTGCAGCTCTTGGCTTTGTGAAGTAATTTGTAATGCAATAATCTAACTTACCTTTATTTATTGCAGATGCGAGCCAGGCTTTTAATCTGCTTCCTGCATTGAGGTCTTTAAACTGTTGTCTACCTTCCAGGTATCTTCATGTTTCTGCTTCCTCTTCTCAGTTCTATGTGCAATTACAAAATCCTCCTGTGATAAAAGTGAAGACATAACAAAGTATTTTATCCAAAGATAGCACATAGTTCAAGATAACTGATATTTCTTACCAAGAAGGATCTTTTTTTTTGGGGGGGGTCTTTTAGTTTTAAATGGTTTTTTTTTAAGATTTATTTTTTTGTGCCTATAAGAGCTGGGGTACAGGCCAGAGGTCTGAGTGTGGTGGGGTGAGAGGGTTCACCTGAGATAGAGTGGGGAACAGAACAGGCAGATTGACTGAAATACACTGCTGAGGGGAGCAGCGGGTGAGTCAATAGAGATCAGCTGCGCCATGTGGGTTGCTCCCTGGCCAACCGGGGATCAAACTCATGTTGCAGAGGCTGTGGATTGCTTCATAGTGTGGTGCTTAACCCCTTGCGCCACCAGGAGGCCCTTAAGTTGTATTTTGAAGTAAGGTAGACAGAATTTTGTTATGTTCAACTGCGGGTTCAAATCACAACCTAATTCCCCAAACATTAATTTTGGTATGCTGGTTAACTTTAAAGAAATGCCTTTAGAAAATAAACCAATAGGTAGTTTGCTTAAAATGAACCAGGGCCTGATTCATTCTTGAACAGAACTAAAAGCTCCCAATGGCTTTACAAGGCTATGGGATGATGATTATGTTCTCCTTATAGTAGCATTACCCATCCCCTTTCCCTCCTATTCCTTTTAAATAGTAGGCACTGGAGGGGCTCCATCTATCCCTCTTCACCCTTCCATTCATAGAGTGATTCATCCATCCATCCATGTCATGTGTATGAGTGATATGAAATAGCTAGCCAAAGAAGAGGATACTACAGGTCTGATACCACAGGCAATTATAACAATTAAACTGAATGAATAAAATAAATTACGCATTTGTCATGGCATAGTATATGATTGTTTAGTTTAGTTCAGTATAATATAGAGAATTTCTTAAATGACTTGATTAAAGCAAGTTTAGGAAGAATGCCTGGTCTCATTGATAGTCTAATTCTCAAATATAACTTCCATATTTTATATATTTAACATATTATGAAATTTTACACTTAGATCACATTGTTCTGATTAATATCTTGAATTCCCTAATCCTACTAATGTCCACTTCAATGTCTTTTGGAAATAATAAGCATGAGGTAAGAAAGAGAGAAAAGGCAGATATCCATCAGAACGTAAGTTTAAATTTAGTACTAAGATATTGGTATAAGCAGAAAAAAGGCAACTCCATCTACAGTTTTTCAAAGATAAAGTATTTTGATTCATACGAAATTGTACTTCAACATTTGATTGAAAGATAACTTGGCAAGTAGGAAAAAGAGAATGAATTAGACCACAAGCTTTTCTGAGTTACAGAATATAAAGGTTTAGCTCTATTAGCTATTAACTTAAAAGGATTAAAAATCCTATCTACGTAAGTATATAAACATATGTACTTTCCTCCTTTATTTTAGCTTATAGGAATCTCCCACTTGTTTGGAAAAGAAAATGTCTTGTGCAAGCAACAAAGTGGACTCCTTGCTCCAGAACATGTGGCATGGGAATATCTAATAGGGTAACCAATGAAAATAGCAACTGTAAAATGAGAAAAGAGAAAAGACTGTGTTATATTCAACCTTGTGACAGTAATATATCAAAGACAGTAAAGGTAAAGTTTGATTAGATTTAACTTCATTATAATTCAATATGAAGAGACTTCTGAAGAGTGTGTGTATGTGTATATGTATTTTGAAGGTTTGGTTCTTATAAAATCACCTCATTATAACTATTAAACTATCTCAGAGGAAAACAGGTATTAATCTATCTGCATTTCATGGGGAAATTTTTACCAAAAGAGGTACTGATAATCTGTTGATTCTATATATTCTTAATAGCATGAGTCTTGATTAGCCTGACTTGTAGTACCCACTGCCCACCCCCCGCTTTTCCCCCATGTATATTTATTTTTAAAAGTAGATTCTTCTCAGATTTTAACTTTTTAAAAAAAATAATTTATGTAGTGGAATCAAAGCAATGGATAAAAGGTTTTGGTTGTCATGGTCACAAAAAACATATATCAGAGAAGTTTTGATCTTACATACAGCATCAACTTGGACAGGGAACTACACCAATTCCAAGATGCTGTGTTTATATAGTATACTTGCAAAAGGACTGATAAAATACTCTGATTGCTTGGTATAGAGCTGTTCCTGCTTCTAGAATTAGGCAAGACAAAACTGTCTTGAGTGATTTTCAGAAATGCTACAAAACCCTTTGCATCTCCAAGATATTTTCTGATCATTTTAGAAAGCTGACAATTTTAAAGGGATTAAGATTTTTTTTTTTATTTATCCATCCACTCAAAACTACCTGAGCCGTGTTAGGGAATTTGCTAAGTCTTAGGTAAACATTTAGTAAGACCTGGCCCTTGACATTAAACAAAAGCAGAGACATTTTGATTATGGAACTGAGCAAAGGGTAAACAGCAAAAATATTGATGAATGGTTCCTTTAAAATGTTGGAGCAAGAATAGGGTGGGCACACCTCTAGTGAGATGGGTTTTTAAAAGCAGAAAACAGAGTGCCTGGAAGTCACTAAGTAGCAACTATTAATGCTTTAGAAATAATAGCTGTGTTTGCGTTATAGTCTACATAGTATGGCTTTTTTTTTTAAGACTTATAATCAAGTTTAAAGAATGGCTTTTTTTATATTATATATCTTTTCAGATCCCCAAAGGAAAAACATGTCAACCTACTTTCCAACTCTTCAAAGCTGAAAAATTTGTCTTTTCTGGATGTTCAAGTACTCAGAGTTACAAACCTACTTTTTGTGGAATATGTCTGGATAACAGATGTTGTGTTCCTAATAAGTCTAGAATGATAACCATTCAATTTGATTGCCCAAATGAAGGGTCATTTAAATGGAAGATGCTGTGGATTACATCTTGTGTATGCCAGAGAAACTGCAGAGATCCAGGAGATTTATTTTCTGAGCTCCAGATTCTATAAACCAAGTGTCTGGGGAAAGTTAAGATTAGTCAATGAAGTCATTACATCTAAAAATTAGAATGGTTATAAAGTAATGGCAAATTTACCTTTTTGGCTTAAAAAAAGTATTAATGTCTAGCTATTCTTAGATGACTATATATAAGGCATTGGAAGCTTTAAAAAAAGGTTCTGTTTAAAATACAAAAAATTTGAAAACCTTAAAATTGAACTTACTTTAAAAATATCTTATAATTCTGAAAGATACTTGATTCCACCTATGCATTCCTTATAATATGGAAAAATTACAAAATTTATGAGAAAACATTTTATTCTATGAAATAATCTGGAACAGCTTGTTGAAAATGTATTAAAAGCACATTAAAATTTTTAAAACTATCTGCATTTTGACAATGTAGCATAGGCTCCTATCAGATGATAATCAATATAGGGTGAGCATCCTACTGGATTAATTCCTGAATGGGAATAAGAATAAACTGTAAATATACTTATAATTTCCATTGCCCTATCCTGAATATCAATTTAAGATTTCTTCTGGAAGGAGAAAATGGGACCTCTCTGGCCACTGATAACAACTATAATCTAAATTTTTTTATACCAATATTACAAAAAATTAAACTTCCAAGATATAAAAAACCAAGAGCAGTGCCCTTACTTTGAGAAAGAAAAAAAACTTAAAAATATAATGCTAAAGAAAGCACGTAACAGATTATTTTGGTTTGAAAATAAATTGTCCCTAAAAATTACTTCCTTAAATGATTACTCACCCTATAAATTTGAAATATACATTGTAATGAAAGATTAATAGTGTTAAAGACTAAAACTGGAGATTATAGTATCTGGAACACCTTCACTAGGTTTTTCTAGCCTTTTATTGCAAAGTTTGGAAGAATATAGCAAACTTAGTTAGTAATGTATTGTCCAGTTATATAAATGGTGACAAGCAAAATAATGATAACAAGTAGCTTTGCTTAAAATATGAAAATTTATTATAAAATCAACTGGTTTGATTAAAAAGTGTTATATTTAAAAATAAATTAATACATGTTAAAATACATGTAAATTGTGATTTGAGTGTAAATAAATCATCACCCAAAGATGAAACTAAACTTCCTTAACAAGTTGTAATAATGCCTATCCCTGAAGTTAGTGGAAGTACATGGAAATATTTATATTGGTCCCTCTACTCCCAGTATTTAAAGAGTCAGCAGAATTTAAACAGAATATGAAAACATAAATTATAAATAAATAGAAAAATATATCTGTGCAAGCTTTTTATTGAAGATGATTATTATTGTGTAAATGCTAAAATATACTATAAATAAAATGCTGAAGAACTCTGTTCTCTTTATTTCAGAAAAGGTGACTTTCTGGAGAGAAATGTTTGAAACTGAGGTATTATTAATTCACCAATTTCACATACTGATATCATGGACAAATTGTGATTGAGTAGAAAATACTCTTTGAGACAAAAATACTTTCTGATAATATGAAAAATACAAACTGAGTTTTCTAAATCACAAATATGCTAATCAAAAAGGTGACCAAAAATGGAAAACTAAGAAAAATAAATATTATCTATATTATATATATTTTTTCTTTTCACACAGCTATGCTTAGTCTAGGTAAACCTTGCACAGGCATGCTTTTGGTGGCATCCAATTGGTTGTATTCCTGTATGAGAGCGGATAAAGATGACACAGCTTCTGTAAAACAGCTTTCCTCCATTCCTTCAACTTGTAGATAGTGATGAAGGTGAGCCTATTAAAAAAAAAGGACATTTACCATTTCAGAAAATTTAATATGTAATTATTCCAATGTAGATATTCTTAAGATGATCATTCTTTGTCACAGTGAATATTTTGTCTAAAATTATAAACTCATGAGACTTCTTTTTTATTTTTTTAATTTTTCTTTTAATAATTATTTTTTTAATTTTTTTACACCACTGTTCATTTTTAAACAATATTTGCTTCCCCCAACCCCCTCAAGTGTAGTCCCCACAGAGTTTCCTTCTCCAATGCATCTGTGCACCATCACCTCAATAGTCTAACTAAGCAGACAAGATTATCCCTGTTATTTAACAGTGCAAAATAACTTTTTTTAAAAAATATTTATTTATTTATGCATACAAGAACTGGAGTCTAGGCCAGAGGTGAGAGGTGGGGGTGTGTGTGAGAGGATACACCAGAGACAGAGTGGGGAATAGAGCAGGCAGACTGACTGAAATACACTGCTGAGGGGAGCAGCAGGCGAGACAGGAGAAGTCTATTGAGCCATATGGGTTAGCTCCCAGCCTGAGGATCAAACTCATGTCACAGTGGCTGGTGATAGCTTGATAGCATTGACACTTTAACCCCTGCACCACCAGGGAGGCCTAACTATAATTCTTGAGAATACATCTTCAATAGCAAAATAAACAAATAGTCAGCCTGGTACTGACAATCACCTTTTTCTTGTAAAGCTTCATGAATCTCTCTCTCAGTTCCATGAAGGTAGGCTTCACACACGTGTTATTTGCTAAAGCTAAAAGTGAATGAGAGTGGCCCACAGGAGGAACTGAACACAGGCTAGTCTTCCAGCCTTCTTGATTCCAGGAGACAAACTGTAGAGAAGGTTTTAATCTGAAATACAAAAACTCAAAAAGTCAAGGTACTAAATATGTCTCCCATATTATGGTAACCCACATTAATTAAATGAGGACCTTACTGATGGTATCATTCTAATTGCTTATTTTATAATGTAAAATATCTTTTTTTTACTATTCGCAGTATTAGGGCATAGTTTGACAGTGAACTCTAACATTTAGTAGGAGCAGATTGGCTGTGATGGTGATTCAAAAAGCTAGAAACATTCAGAAATCTGGGGATGAGAAAAAAATGAAACATTCTTTTCTTTTCTTTACCATTCAGTAGAGCAGTTTTTCTAAAAAACAGACTGTCAATAAATAGTAAAATTAAACTCAGCAGTGGGAATAATGGTGGCAACAATAAAAACAGTCATAGTTAAAATAAAACATCTCACATATCCCTTAATACTCATGAATAACAACTTTGTACTACTATTATTATTATTCTTTTAGAGTAAAATAAGACTCTCAGAGGTAATGTAGCATGTTCAAGGTGACAATCATTAAGTGGCAATGCTAGAATTTGAAGAGAGGCAGTCTTAACTACTATGCTACACTGTCCCAAGTGGTACACACAATAAGTTATCTTGAAAATTATAAAATCAAACCTTTCAATATTTCTGCGAAGATCTGAAATCTGTACATTTCCTCGAACCATGAGGGCACAGGCCAGATAGAGATTATGTTTGGGGTCAGCCCGAATGAGTTGATAATCTTTACTAAAGGCATCTGTGAACATCTGATCTAACCTAGAACAATGGAAGAGTCACTGTTTATACAAGAAAAACAATGCATTTTTATTCTATAGTATAAGTATTAAATGAAAAGATAGTTATCTATAGATAAATCACATAAATATCTTCTAATCTCAGCTTTCATTTTCTCAGATAAGCTTGATAAAATATGAGGAGTGAAATATATAATACCTATTTTTGTTTTTTAGAGTAAAAAACTTCTGCAGTAAGTTGATTTCAAATAGCTACAAAATATCAACCAGAGTATTATTAGTGAGCTCTATATAGTACTGGTTTCTAAAACTTAACTAATTATTGCTTAGTTTGCTATGCTTACCTACTTCATAATATCAGAATTAACACAACTAAAACTGCATATTAAGATGATTACTCTTTTCTCTAAGACATACTATAAAAGTTAAAAATAATTAAAAAAGGGCCTCCCCTGGTGGCACAGCGGTTGAGCACTGGGCTGCGAGGCTGCCCACAGCCTCTGCAGCGCCAGTTTGATCCCCGGCCACCGGAGAGGGTCCCACAAAAAAAAAAAAAAAAAAAAAAACAAACTACCAAAGACAATGTTAGGCTCTCCTCTAAAAGATAAAACTGTGGCAGTATTCCTGAAAAGGGAGTCTTTTAATTGAGTGAAGTCTTTTAACATCATTCTTTAATCCTTCCATTGCAGGAAGGAAGATAAAGGTGACTGACAAGGTTTATATCTAATAATACAGTCTCCTTGGTCCCTAATAGGGTTCTTAAATCTCACATCTGTACACTGTGGGGAAGAGCTACAGAAATCACAATATGCTACCTATTGTGATAAGAGTTTTAAAAGCAAACTCTTTTATTTTATTTTTTTTTTTTTGTGGGACCCTCGCTGGCGGCCAGGGAACGAACCGGCGCTGCAGAAGCTGCGGGCAGCCTTGCAGTCCAGCACTCAACCATTGCGCCACCAGGAGAGGCCCTAAAGCAAACTCTTACTTAAAGTACCCAGCAAGATTATATAGAGTATAAAGTAGGTATTCTCTCATTGTATAGTGAAACAAACCACAGAGAATTCAAGTCAGTTTTTCAGACTTAAAAATCTTTCCATTAAAAAGTATATCTTTATTAATTATTTAAGTCTAAAAATTTAGTTACTAGATTTAATTTCAGAGTTTAATACTAACATTCCTAAAAACAATGACTTTTAAAAGCAGCATTAATAGAAAACAGGCTGTAAATGTATCTTACACACTTCTCTCAAAGGAAATAATATAAAGAACTTTTAAAAGTAATTCAAGTTCTCAAGAAATTGGAATAAAGTTACTACATCTTACCTTCGAGGAGGAATGTTAACATCTGCCAGTGTATACAGAGGTGTTAGGCTTGATACAAGATAATGAAGTTGAGGAAAAGGAACTAAATTCATGCTGATTTCATTAAGGTCCATATTAAGGGAGCCTTCAAACCTTGCAGAGCTAAAAAAAAAAAAAAATGAAGACCAGAATAAAATTAATTTTAAAATTATATTCTTTGTAGAAGGTATTTTCTTAAATCTTTGTGTATACTGCTCATTAGTATACAATGTATGCTTTACTTAGCAGTAGTAGAATTTAGTAGCATGAACACCAGTATAAAGATGATCAAAATATAACAGACAACTTCTATAGCAATTCTTATTTTTGGATGCTTTAATTTGAAGAGCAACCAAAACACTATTACAGTTACTCATTACACACATAAAAATATCTTACTTAAAACAGATTTTATACTGAGTTAAACACACATAGGTTAATGAATATTTAATTTTTCAATGAAACATACTAAATTCCTCAAACGTCTGCTGAATATGATCTATAATTTGGAATACAATGTCAAAAGCAATTTTTCAGAGCAAAATCAAGGAAATATTTGGAACAGAGGTACAGATTAGCTGGTTTAAAAGATTAACACATTCTATAACAAAGTGTACTTTTATCTAACAAACTGTTTTTCAAGTGTATCTACCACAAAATCTTTGATTATTTACATTGATTAATATTTCCTGGAATGTACTTGGGGAAATGCTGCTTTGGAGTGATAGAAGTGAAAATTCTAGACTATTAGTCCAAAATCATAAGTCAAAATAAACAAAAGAAGCTCCTACACACCTTAGAATGACGACAAGAATGCTACTGCAAAAATGCTAGTGGAAAAAGGAAAATATGATCTAAGTGTATGATGTCATTAAACTGCCCTTTAGGTAGAACATCACTAGGCTTACCTTGTTAGGTTGAGCAGCAAATTTGCCACAATGTTGTTCATTGCATCAAAGGGCTTTTCCTGCTGCCTTTTAAAAACCCCAGCACTTGAAGTAACCACACTCTTTGGCTTCACACTTGTACCCAACTTTCCAGAATTCACCATGAGGTCAATTTTGCTAACGATGTCAAATAAAGACTTTCAAGGAAAAAATATTGGGAGAGAAGCTATTAATTGTGGACATGGCTGATATTCTACCATAAATGAAAGAACAGAAAAAAAAATTTAACCTTATTTTTTTCTCTTAAGTGAGAAGGCTGTATTAAAAGACTCAGATAAATACGTAAGCATACAGAATTGAATGTATATGAAATATGTGCATAAATTACAATATCATTTCTTACTTGGTTGTCAATGGGCAACACACAGTCTGCATGCTCATTAAGTTCTTTCATTGCCAAGATGCTATTATAAGGTGAGGTTATGACATCATCCTCACCAGAGGGATAAACTGAAGTCACAAATCTGTATACTTCTGGGAATTCATCCTCAAGCATCTTTAAAAGAAATGTTCCAAGTCCAGATCCTGTTCCTGAGGATTAAAATATCAAAAAGAAAATAGCATAAATGACTCAAAATATAATTGTAAGAAAGTTAGAATTTTATGTCTTATTTATAGAAATAATCAAGAATTCAAATCATACCTGTGATTTTATACTAACTACTTTAAATTCAGATAAGGAAATGAAGACAATATAGATAGTATGGCTTAAAGCACTGAATTCCAATTCTGTCTCTGACCACAAGGTTGGAAGACTTTCTATAATTCACTCTTTTTCACCTTTAAGTTATATGTATATGATGCCAAAAGAAGAAAGTGAAAAATTCAAGTAAGATGGTATTCAGTTTACAACAGATGTTAAGCACTTAAAAAAAACTATCTCGACATCTTTGGTATAGCAAATATTCAATTTTAATGATGAAGAACACTATTCATGACATCAAGCAACTTCAACACTGAGTTAAAATTGTTTAAAAACAAGGATGATCACCTTGAATTTATAAAATTTTCAAATATAAAACATCTATCAATGAAGAACTAGCTTTAAAAAATTATTACAAATCCACATGAGTGAATTTTATGAGACAGAGTTGATACTGAAAGATATTTTGTAAAGATATAGAGTAGCAAAAATGACAAAATAACATGTATTGTGGGATTTCAAATATACACATTTTTATAAGTATAGAAAATATTTGGTAGAATAGATATAAAAAAATCCCGAAATCCCTGCAGACTTGATTACCCGTGAAGAGACAAACTAGGAAGGCCTTTTTAACTTTCAGTATTTAAATTATCTTTGCCATTTCCAGTTAATTACGAACAAAGTATATTCTTCCAAGATGTTGAATATATTTTAAAAAGATACTATAATGAACTATAAATCAAAATGTTTTCATTTAAAAACTTACTCAAAGCTTATACTAGCAGAAAATTTGCTTCTGAATTTAGGGATTATGATGGTCTTCTAAAGTCCTGATAACACAGAAATTGTTAACTTTAAAGTGCTATTATACTTAATAACAGATATACATAATATGATAAATTGTCTATAATCTGTATATAACCTGTTATATAATCTGTATATAATTCCAGAGCTTGGAGAAAAAAATTGGCAAATGTTTTCTTTAAAAATGGAAAATACTTTTGTTTTGAAATTAAAAAATCATCACCTGTTTCCAGTTCACGGAACAGGGATGCAAAACAGAACACTGCAAAATGCCTCACTTGCAAAGTACAGGCTTCCTTGAGGAAAGAAAGCAGTGCAGATCAGTTATTCCAGGTCAAGGTGATTCAATATCATATAAAGAGTGATTTAAAGGAAATGATAAAAGGATTTTTTTTTACTTTTATTCTCTTACTACAGATGAAAAAAGGTTTGAAGATGGTTCAAGAAAAGATACTTATATGTGAATATGCCAGAAAGACTTAGCTCTAGTTAGCATACAGGACTGCATAAGTAAACTCATAGGAGTCAGTCAGCATTCCCAAATAAGTTCGCAACACTGAAATGTAGCTGGAAATTTTGGAAAATGAAACTAAATGTACAAGAAAAATATATTCGTATCAGATTTTGACTCTTAAAAGGACTGAAATTTAAAAAAGATTGGAAATCTGTGACATAATTGACAAAAATTTAAGATAAAAAGCTGTTATGTATATGTATTTCATAAACACGTATATACACTTAACAGTTTTATCTTTACAATGTGTAGATTTGAAAGCAAGACTTGTGTTTGCAAAATGAATTCCTATTTACACTACCATAATGTTAAAGACACATGAGTATAAACTTTACCTCCTCCCATAGAATGTATTATAAAAAAACACTGTAAACAATCACAGTGCTCGGCCGACTTTCTGAGTTTCTCTAAAATCTGTTCTTGATAAAGACTGCCAAAAACCTTGTGACCCACAGCCCTGAAAATAAGAAAACAGATTAAAATCTCTTTGCATTTATTATTTTTTGATTTTATTACATCTATAAATAAAGATTATTGGAAAACTTGAAAATTTATTTTTACAATATTAATTCTTTTCCTGTTTCTTATCAACAAACCATATTATGACACCTTAATATACTATAGGAGGAAAATTTAACAAACACTGTATACTTATAGTCCTCAAACATTCTGATAAGATTGCTTCATTACTAATGAATATTAAATTATGGTTTTCTAAACTTAATTTTTCTCTTAAGGTATAATTACAACAAAATCAGATTTTAGTTACCAATTTCTTATTTACAGTTAATATAAATTGTGGTTGTAGTAATTTTACATAATAACAAGACTAGACTCAACTAGAAAGATATTAACAGTACATTTTAAACTAATCCGCTTTAGTTTAAAATGAGAAAAATGTTGGTCATATCATATTACTGCATGATATGGCACACAGTAGGACACATAGTTGAGGTGCTGTGAGCCATTTTGACTGCCCAAAGTTGTAAGTTTCACTATTATGAATTAAAAATTATGATTTCCCCACAACATGCAGTCAGATATAACTAAAATGTTATAGAATAAGTTATAAAACAATTAGAGAAAAGCCACTTTGGTGACCAGATGGGCTCACTTATTAAGTGACTGATTCTCCCCAAATGAGTCTCCCAGAACAAAAGATTCAAATTCATGCTTTGGTAAAATTATATATCCTGATATAGTATCAACCTGAGGGACTAGCTACAAATAGTTAAAATAATGAATATGAGATTTTCAAATCACAAGGACATATCTAATTTTTTTAAAAGTCTCAATGAAAAATTTTAATCATTGCTGGAGCTCTTTCCACACTCTCAGGAGAAGAAATTATCATATATTTAAGGGTCAAACAAAGCCTTGGGCTGCACTTGAATGTTGAAACACTGGCCTGGTTTGCATCTTTAGATCAATTCTGTAAAATATAACCAAATGAAGAACTTGATAAAGCTGAATAATATATATCACAGAACTGTTTATAAAGACACTTAAAACTTTCAGAGAATAGTTTTTAAAGAACCTTGAAACTTTCACTAGGTAGTATTATGGAAGAATCAATTTACAAAGAAGAACTTAGTGAATCAATTTTTCATGATTCACCTTTCTCCTTAAAAAAGAAAAAAAGGACACAGGAGGCTTCCAAGCATTATGAACTACTATCATTTATCAAGGAAAAGATGATGGGCTGAAAGGCCTACAATTAGGTATGGTAGTTAACATCTTCCATATTGGCAGGATCTATTAAAATGAGAGAAAGACTGCTCATTTCCTTCAGATGATGTTCAGTTTTTACATTTAGCATATCTCACCAATTATTCCCTGAGCCAGAAATATCAGTGATGAGTTGCTTGTTATCAAATACATCTCTCAAGGGACCCTGCAGAATTTCATTTACTACCCCTTCCTCCATATCAATCAAGACAGCCTGAGAAAGAGAAATAAAATTCAATTAGCATATTTTTCTTTGGAGTTAATCACTGTGAATGAAAAGAATTTATGAACTCAAAGTTGCTTTTTTTTTTTTTTAAAGTTTAAGTTTAACCAAACCTTTCTTTGTGGAGAAACTTTAAAGAATTAAAAAATTTCACTCTAGAAAATCAAAATCAACAAACAACTATGAACCAGAGACACTCTATGGGGGGTGGGAGGAGGGAAGGGATTGGGGTCAAAATAAGGGGGTTGCAATTGTATGGGGAATATAAAAATAAAATTTATTTAAAAAAATGAAAAAAAATTCACTCTAAAGGTAGAATCCAATTAAAAGATAGATTCCAAATTTTTATCATATTTCAAATGTCAAGTGGGAAAGAAAGGAACGGACTAATCTCAACTGATTTTCTAACAATGCTTTTATTCATCTGTCTGTGTGATTGTAAATTTCTTGAGAACAAAGCCTCAGAAATCTAGAAAACAACCTTAAAACGCCAAGAAATAAAGGGTGCGTTAATGTATTTACTCACTAGGAATAACCGTACTGCACATGATGAATCCTAATTCAAGAAACATGTATACATATGAAGAAGTAAAAATGTAATCCCCAAATTATAATAAAAAATTAAAACAAAGCAAATAAAACTCAAACGAGTAACCTTACTATTACGTGCAGTCAAGACACTGGATAGATGTCAAAGGGTCTCTTACACCAAGTACCTCATAATCTAACTCATCATTTATTACCTCAAATATTAGTGACATGGGAGATAACTTGTATTACTAAAAAGAAAATGGGAACATAAAATTAACTATAGAAAGAAAAGATGGGGGGAAATACATCAAAATGTGAACAATGCTATATGCTCTCTATGCCACCTCTTTGTATTTTGCTTTCCATATTTTCTGCAGAGAATAAGAGTAAAAAGCAAAATAAACAAATAAAAAAAAGCAAAACTGAAAAAAATATTTTAAAATAACTTCAGGGTATACAATAAGGCTATTAACTCTGATCCACTGTCAGAGAAATGTTTGGTTTAGGATGCTCTTAGTTCTGTGAATACGTAACATTTAAGCACTTATTACATGCTTCTGTTATGCTTCAAATTTATCACCCCATTTAATCAGCACACAACTCTATCAATAGAAACTATAATCATCTCCTATTTACACACTGAGGCCTAGAAAATTTACTTATTTATTTATTTATTTATTTATTTTTTTTACTCTTTTTTTTTTTTTTTTTTTATTTTTGTTTGTTTGTTTTGTTTTTGTTTATACATGCACTGGGTACAGTCAGAAGCGCAGGAGGGTGAGAGAATTCACCAGAGCCAGAGCAGGGAGCAGAGCAGGCAGAAGGACCGAAGTACACTGCTGAGGGGAGCAGCGGGCGGCAGGAGAGGTCTGCGCGCCATGTGGGACCCTCCTCCGGTGGCTGGGGAGCAGCCGGGGATCGAACCGGCGCCGCAGAGGCCGCGGGCAGCTTCGCAACCCAGCGCTCAACCGCTGCGCCACTGGGGAGAGGCCTAGAAAATTTAAATAACTTGGCTGTCAACATCCAGCTAGCTTAAGTGGTAGAGCTGAGATTCAACCTGGCTAGGTAGCTGCAAAATCTTCAACTCTTAACCACCAAATTCTATGCCTTACCATCTAATAGAAGGGAGACAGTCAAGTTTGGTATTTATAGAGTACTGACTATAATGGAATTACAATTTATGGCCATTTAAGTTTTGTGAATTCAAATATTTGTGGAATTAAATACGTTACTAAAAGTTGGCAATTAAAATAGCACATTACATAGTATAAATTATATGGTATATTAAAGATGTATTTTTAATTGTATAATAACATAGCATATTAGTATATTACAGCAGTATATTAGAAAGGCTATACAATTGTTTTGCAAATGTGTTCTTTTATATGCAATAATTACACATATGCTTTACATATACTGTATAAGGTTGTTTAGTGGTAATTAGACGGATTTTCAAGGACATTGCTGATATTATGCAATTTTTACCTTAAACACCAACTTTAACACCCAACCAACCACATAAGAGGGCTATCACTATATGGGAAAATTGTAGTACTACAAGTTGCATAAGAGCACAAAAAGAAAGGAGCTTACATTGGCCTTATTCTTTGATTTGTGGAAGATTAAACATACCTAAGTCCTTTTCTCGATTATCTTGCAATCTGGCAAAGGAGGTAACATGCAGCATACAAACTAACTGATATTCAAGCCCCTACTGAAGTCAGTTTTGATAGAATCATCACTGTGTTAGTCACTTAACATTAAAACCCTGACACAATACATAACTCTTACAACATTCCCTTAATTACATCAGCTCCTTGATTTGCTTTTCCCTTGGAAAATTTTTAAAATTAGGAGGAATGTACTGGGTTCCTCACTTAGTCATCCAAAAGTTGGAATTACCAGCTATTCAAGGATTTCATGTTTATTATTTTCTTCTAGAGCTACCTGGCAAAAACTTTCTGGCCTTTGAACTTTTCCTCAATTATAATATAAAACTTACAAATTCTAAGAATATTTATTTACCTAAGATATTGGGCACAGTGGAGGAACCCAAGCACCAAGTTATCTTGTGAAGCCTTAATGTCAATGATCATAGCTATATAATACCAAGCACTCCCGGAGTAATGACAACCTTTCAGGACAAAAGTCAAAGGATACAGAAACATGCTAACTTATCCTTTCCCAAGAGTGTTTCCACTACCTCCTCCCTTGCTCATTGATGGTGGCAGGAAAGGGCTCAAACTGGGAGTGGTCTAGAAAATGTTGGCATCTTTTTCTCTGTGATTTGGATTAGAATGCGGTATATCTAGTGGTAATCAATATTGCTGACAGTCTACAAGTACATGGTCTCTGCCTTATATTTTGTTTTCCAGACATCAGAGATCAGCCACAAAGAGTTGGTTCCCAGGTACCACAACACTATTGATCTCCATTCTCTCAGCCAATACTCCCAGTTTGATTCTTACTATGTTACTTCCATAGTCTCTAAACTACCTTTCTTTTTTGTTACAGTTAACAATTACAGATCAGCAATTAGATAAAGCAGTTTGTTGTGGAGAAACAATCACAAAAGAAAAGTGTTGCTGGCAAGAGACTGAGTGTAAATATGGGTTATTGGCTAAAGTATTTTTGTGCAGATTATCTTACATAAATGGTTATGATATTTATTTACTGTAATGTAGTTGGATCCATGTTTTGTATTGGGAGTAGTAACAACGATGCAAATAAATTTCCCATTATTTTCAAACAAAATATTAACCTGTATTTGTATATAATTCAGATCTTTAGAGACAATAAAACTACTTTTATTATGTTTCAGGTGTATGTTTCCTTTGAAAGATTTAGAAAAAAAGCTAAATATATCTTACTCGTGCTTTTAAAGAACGAATTTTCCCCTTGGAAATGGTGCCATCATCACCAACAGCTCTGAAAGATAAAAAATGAGGAAAGACCATTAAGATGTCCCATGGCTAATAATGCTATCAGGTTATAAAGCTATTTTCCATCTATATAATAAAACTGCTTACAGGTTGGGTGAAGCATACACAAAAGACCAAAAAGAAGAAAGTATTCCTAATGTCCCACGCCCTTGCCTACCTCCTATCAGACTGATGTAGTGAGGTACTTAGTTCCCTGGCTTTTTTTGTAGTTAGAGCTGGCCATGCAACCCATTTTTGTGTAATGAAATATAGGGGGAGGTATACTGGGAAGCTTTTCTGATAAAAAGGACCAGATACAGTTGAAGCCAACTTCTTTCCTTTTTGTGCCCTGAAGAAGGGTACAAATGAGCACAGGTGATGCTACAGGGATTCCTGAGGCTACTGAGGGCCTCAGGTAAAAATCTGAACAACTTCTTGTTTTTCTAGATAAAGTTTTATTTGAACACTGCCATGTCCATTTCTTTACATATTTTCTGTACTTGACAAGTTTTGAGTAGCTACAAAGACTTCATGGTCCACAAAACAAAATATTTATTATCTACTCCTTTACAGAAAAGGTTTATCCTCCACTGCTAAAAGTAAATTCTTATGCTATAAGAAAGGTATGATCATTTCCCCAAGTTGATACAGAAGAATACCCAAAGCTGTAGTCTTGTTCTTGAAAAGGTTTTTTGTACTAGCTTGAGAAATATATGTACTATCAGCATATCTACATGTGCTGAAAGAACAAGATGCAATCCTCTTCTCCCCTTTTTCCAAACTTGATATTAAGGAAACAAGAATGCTTTTAGCTTAAATTATAAAACAAACAGGGTAGGTAAGAGTACAATTATGTAAAGTTACCTTATTAAGAGAAAATAGCTCAGGCTGAGTCTCAATGATATATTCAATGAAAGGATAGGACAATAAGAATGAAAGGGGTGAAAGAATTAGAAGTGAAGAACCTAAAAGGAAGTATTACAAAGGCAAATTTGAGTCTCTTAACATTTAGTAGTGAGGATGTTCTAGTTTCTAAACAAGAAATCTAGTCTATATGACATAGCTCATTAAAATAAAGAAAAATGGTCACTAAGGCAATACACCTAACTTTTCTTGGTTTGATTCCATGGTCACCAAGCAACCTTCTATTACTTAATTTTCAGGTTGATTTCCTTAAAAGAATGTACCTTTGAAGGAAAAGAAACATCTGATTTTTTTGAATTATAGTCCCTACATTTGACTTTCTGCTTTGTAATCCCTCATTCTTTTTGAGAATGGTTTATCTGCCTATACTGGAGAGCACTGGGCCTATTCTCAGGTGTCCATAAGGTTTCTTAGCTTGCAAGCCCGAGAGTAAGGTTCAAATTCACCAAACGAGTGGGGACTAATTAGACTTCCCTAGGACAATAGTCTCAAATACTCGACCAACTAATAATACAAACCAGAACTGGAATTTTTAGTAAATTAGATTAGAGCTGGATATTAAGCATATATTTTTTGGTTCAAAACCACAAAAGTTTAGTTCCATTAAGTATTTTGAATGCATGAACTTAATGTTAAATTACTTTCAGCCAAAAGGCATGTGATACATACAATCTTTATTAAATGAAAGTAATGACAATTACTTTTCTCCTTTTTTAGCATTGCATTAAAAGAGCAAGTATTCCTGACCATAAAAAAAAAAAAATCATAGAAATACAATATTTTTTTTTCAAAAGTTAGTCATTACAGGGCCTCTTTGGTGGTGCAAGGGGTTAAGCACAGCACTATGAAGCAATTCGCAGCCTTGGCAGCACGAATTCCATCCCCAGCCAGGGAGAAACCCACATGGCGCAGAAGAACTCTATCTTCCCTACTGCTCCCCTCAGCAGTGTATTTCATCAGTCTGCTGTTCTGTTCCCCACTCTGTCTCTGGTGAATCCTCTCACCCCCACACCTCTGGCCTGTACCCCAGCTCTTGTATGCATAAATAAATCTTTAAAAAAAAAGTTAGTCATTACTCATTCAAACAAGTTATTCTCAGGGAAATTTTCAGCATTCCTTTAATGAAACTTTATTTCAAGGTCAAGTTAAGAGGCGGCACATTACAGGTTGTTTTTGTTTCTTAATATGGTCTTAAAAGGAAACCTGTTGTTGTGCTCTGCAGAATATGAAAATATTAGTGATACGCAAATAATAATGAGACTATACTCTGAATGAGAAAAACTTAACTTTTTCACATTATGTCAAATCTACATTTTCAATTGTTTTAAATGTCCTTTGAAAAATTACCTCAATCTGTTGACATGAAATGAATCTACACACTATGTAACAAACTTTAATCCTATCTTACCTGGTATCCACATTTCTAAAGAAGCTGCTTATTGCCTCATCATAAATTCCTTTCTAAAAAGGAAAAAAAAAAGAACATGTTTATAGCTTTTAATTAATTTTTTTCTATTTCCGAAATGAAGTCCTTTCAAATTTAACAATCCTACGGTACTATAACAGCTACTAGTAGATATGATCAAAAGCAAATTATCATAAAATGCTTAGACCGATTCTTTCAAATTAGAGAAGAGTAAATACTGCAATCTATGGATTTAGAGCAGCAGAAAAAAGGAATTCCCATAGGACGGTTTAACGGGTGCATCAAATGAGAGCTTTCTGTGTTCCTAGACTTCACTTTAAACGCTAACTGGTTAATTAAGAATACAATGTCACCACACATGTAGCCTATTTTACAAAATACATAACCGATCTCACCGCTCTTCACAAGCTTGATTAGAAATTAATTAATCCTTAGTCATTAGGGAAATTTAAAGATCTCTTGCTTTCTTTTAGTCTATAGTGTCTAACGGTCGCATACTTTACTGACAAAATTCCATACAACTTATATCAGTCAGATAGACGAGTAATTCTTGCTTATTTATTTTGGAAGAGGCTGGGTGACAGGCGAGGGGGTTCCGAGGGATGGGGAGTCGGCGGTACCCGGTTGACCGCAGCATGCTCCCTCAGCGCCAGGTCCCAGAAACAGCAGCCGATCTGGTTTCCGCACTGGCCGACTGCGCTCAGGGAAAGAAAGGAAACAGAAGAGACATGAGGCGGAAAACCAGGCGGCTCAGCTCTGCCGCGACCCGGCCCCTCTCCCGGCGCAGCTCACCCTGCAGGACCACCGACTGCGTCATGCTGCCGCGCCGCCCGCCGCGGTTCCGAGAGCTCGCGCCTCTTGTGCTGGCCCCGCCCACCAACGGCGCCGTAAGAGGGGCGGGGCGGCCGTAAGTCACGCTGCTGCCGCAAGTCGCCGCTGTCGCAAAGCGCTTCTCCCCAGGTTAGGGTTAAGATTTTGCGTCCGAAGGCTGCCCAGAGTGCCCTAGCGTCTCATCGTTACCATAGCTACTGGGCCCTTGGACCGCAGATCCTAGCTGCCCTGTCAACATCTTTGAGAGTCGGCAGCTCCTGAGCTCGGGGTAACTGGAGGGTAACTAGGCTTTGGAGAGGGATTTAAAACGTGTGTCCTTAAAACTGTTCGCGGGCTCTCGGAGGTGTAGTCTTGGTTCCCAGGCTCTACGTCCTGGGCGGCGGGTCAAATAACGTTTATTCAGATTCTTCAGCGTGCTGCGTTAGTATCTCTACCCAGCCAGCCCTTTGTTCTAATACAATACGATCAATGTCGACGAGCACAAAGAAACCCCAGGTAGACGTACCGTGTGGTTATACACTTCGACAACAATGGCACTTCAGACACCCAACCAGTGATTGTTGAACACCCAACACCTTTATGCTCTCAAAATCATAGGCCCTCTGGAGGATTTAAAAGAAATTAAGACATAGATTCAGCTTCAAGAAGCTTATATTCTAATTGAAGATATACCTGAAACCTGAAATACTAGCATATTTACAAACATTGTGTAGCGCTGAGTATAAATGCAGCAGGATTCAGTGGATGCGAATGTGGAGGAGTACATTTAGAAGTCTGACGAAGTTAAATGTAGGCATTTGATGTATATACAGTTTAGATATAAGAAAGTAGGAGGAGATTGAAAATTAGGCATACCTGAAAATTACCAACTCCTTAAAATTGTCAAATATTTAAAAGTACTGAAAACTCTTATTGATACATTTAGCCACGATTTCAATTAGGAATTCAAGCACTTCTTTAATGAAATTAACATTTTCCACAAAAATTCTGAGGAACTAAGTATCTGGAAGTCTTCATTAAAAAAGTTATATGTGCAACTAATGTGTGATAATATGGACTCTAAATATTTGATTGATTGGAACACCTTATTCCCCAAGCAGCAAATAGTAGTTGTTACTACATTTTTCTGCTAGCACATAGGTTTGAAGTTGCAATGGCTGATCATGTTCCATTTGGATGTTTTCCATGGTAGTACTTATATCTGTTATGATTAGTAGGCAACTTTTAATCAGGAAATTTTTGCATTTGCTCAATTTTTCTCTTAACTCTTGTTATGAGCATGGATTCTGGGAAGGAGGTGCAATCATACACCTCCAACATATGAGGTCTTTAACATCATGTTAAAGTCCCAAAGTTTTGCAAACTTTGGCCCAGTTTGTAGGCAGTAATATAGGTGGGTCTGCATCAGTGAGCTGTGGTGTCAGCTAATCTGCTATTTTGGCTACTGTTCAGCTGTACTCTTCATTCAGTGGTTAGGTCCCAGAAGTTATACATGGAAAATAAGTTAAATTAAGAATGTCCTAACAAGACACATAATAACTTTAGTCTTGAGAAAATTAGACTGAGAGGCAGTTCTGACTGAGAAGCAATTCTGCTTCAGAGCCACTCCATGTTCTTAGTAGAGGCAGAAAACTTTGTTTAAAGCGTCTATTTTCCTAAAGTCTACATTAATTCAGATAAATCAAATCTAAGATATCCCGGAGTTGACTACACTCCTAATTAGCGACCTCTTAAGATATTCAACAAACTCTCAGAAGAGCAAGCAGAGTCCTAGCCATTCTGGGAGCCTACACAACTCTGGTGGTTTTCTTAGTATGTATTCCTGATACAAACACAGTAAAAAGGAAATATGGTCTACCTTTTCAAGTACTAGCTGTAAGTGGAAGAACAGATTTCAGATAAAATTATGAAAGAAGTAATTTACCCACACAATAGATGAGTGTGGGATTTAATTATTCTGAATTCTTCACTCTCTCCCTCTGCACATAACCATGAATTATCTTCTAGCAGAGTAGCAGAGTACATCTTTGTTCTATTGACTCTGGACTTGGTTATGTAGCCTGCTTTATTTACTGGAATAATGTCAAATTTGAAAGAAGCAGGAGTTTTAGAATGTATGCTCTTGCCTTTTGAACTTTTGTTCTTTTTGGTAAGAAAAAAACACTTGTTCCTCAGGTGGCCATTGTTTCCAAAATGATGAAACATGTGGATTGGATCAGAATCTCAATTGAAATGTGGAGTTTTGCTGATCCTAGTTAGACCCAGGTGAAGTGAATGGAGATTAGCTGAATATTAGACTCCCCAGTCTCACGAGCAAGGAAAATGTTTTTGGTTATAGCCACTGAGACTTGGGGGTGCAGTAGTACTGGAGCAATAGCTGACATACACACCTAGAAAATCAATTGGATAGAATTTCATATGTTAAATATAAGCAAGAAGAATCATTAAGAAATATTTAGACTACTATTGTAAAATAAAGGAAGGAAGAGAAGGAGGGAAGGAAAATAGCATGCAAAAGATGGGTGAAGTACATGGCCTGGATAGAACATAAACTATGAGGAAAAATTTATCACATCTTTGTGCTTTAGAAGAGTTTAATAAGAACATGAATTCAATAATACAAGAACTTAAAAGACAAGATGCTATAATTTATTGAAAATCTTCCCAATATCTTACATACCACCATTTCTAAACCCATTTCTTTTCCATAATTATTGAGAAGTAAGCTTTATGACGGGTGAGTCTTGTCTGTTTTGTTCACTGCTACATCCCTAGTACCTAGAACCTTGACTGGTATACTATAGGTAGTCAAAAATATTTGAGGAATAAATGAACTAAAATGGAGATAAAAGAGCAAAGGGGATTAGTTGAAAACTAAAACACCCTAAACAACTAATGAGTAAAATTAGTCATTAGAGGGAACAAACTACTGAATAAAATTTTGAGATAATCGCAGAGAAAACTAAGGCATTAAAACTCTTAGAAGATAAAATACATGAAAAAGATGAAGATGGCTTAACATGATTCATAAATGCCCCCAGAAATAGATTACAACAAATGCAAGAAGAAATGTACTTACTAATATAAAAATAACTTTAATATCTATAAAGAATATAGCATGGGAAAATTCTACAGGTCAACACTGAGGGACACATCCTGGGAATGTTATTTAATTTTCAGAATAATGAATTCTTTAAGTACTCAGGTAAGAGACAAAAAGGAGGGTGTAGGGGCAGAAATGACACAGGGCAGGCTTTTTGATCCAGCAGACTGGGTAAAGGAGGAGTCCTGGAGCCCTCAGCGGCTTTTGCAGGTCTTTTATTTAGATTTACCAGGCATATGGCAGGCAGGGGTACTGGGGTGCTGGGAGGCAGGCAGTCCTCCCAGCCCCCAGCAAATCCTCACTCTGTCTGGGCTCTCTGGCGTTCTCTCTGCTTATCTTCTTCTTCTCTCAGCTTCTGCTGGTGTCCCCATGACACTGCCCTTGTAAACTCAGTCTCTCAGCCAGGTGTACCCACTTCAGGTGCCCACCATCAGGCATGCATTCAGGACCACAGGGTTCCCTCATCTATCCTAATGGTGGGAGGGCAGAAAAGCCTGATACTTTTTACCTAACCCTACAGTGGGTATGGAGTAAAAACAATTAAGCTACTTCAGAGTCATCGATCGCACATTCAGTACTGGAAGACTTTGAAAAAATGATACATAGTTCTGAGTAGGAAAAATATCTTCCTAGAAAATCATATTCTGATAGCTTTCCAAGTTGTCATTTAAATAAAACTTGAATTTTTGGATGCCTTTCCATTTTTATTCTTGCTTACACACTACCATTTCTAAGCCCATTTCTTTCTCATATAATTTGACAAACACAGCCAGCAGCAATTAACATGTTGTTAACATTCAGTCTCTCAACCTCTTCATCTGGCTTTGAAGTTCATCAGTAAATCATCTGCCTTCTAGGCTATCAGAGTTTAGCAAAGTCTTTAGCAAGTGTTTCCAAATAGCTAAAAAAGTAAAACATTGCTGCAACACTCTGGTTTCAAAAATTGCATGGAAAGATAAGTGCTGATTGAATTTTTATCATAGACATTGGTTTTATACATATTTGATTTGTATTCTTCAAAACAATTATAATGTAGGAATTAGTACCACTTTACAGACAAACTTTCAGTGATTTGTTCAAAGTGACAGAGTTACCGTGGTGTTAAAAGTCAAACTTAATTCTGCTGTGAAAATTGTTTTCCATGGCTGTCTCTACACAGAAATGTAAACTTTAAAAACATTGCCATCCTAAGGATCAAATGTTTAGGTCCTAATGAAATATTAACTAATAATGGCCAGTAATCATTTCAGTTTATCTGTGACACAGTCATATGGTTTCTCTAAGTTAAAATTGTGATCAACTATTCACAGATTACACCCTCATAGGAAAAAGAAGGCAGAGGTAAGTTTTTGTCTAATATCAACTTAATATTGTTAAGTGACAATTTTCTATAACATAAATCATATGACAAAAGTCTGAAATGTAGATAGTGAAAAAGGATATTCCATTAAATGTAAGAAAAACACTACCATTTAATAGTTAAGTCATGAACTAAGAAAATTAGAAGTGGCCTTCCCTGGTGGCGCAGCGGTTGAGTGCTGGGCTACGAAGCTGCCCGCAGCGTCTGCCGTGCTGGTTGGATCCCCTGTCACAGGTGAGGGTCCCACTTGGCGCGACAGACCTCTCCTGCCATGCCCGCTTCTCCCTCCAGCAGTGTATTTTGTCATTCTTCCTGCTCTGTTCCCCTCTCTGGCTCTGGTGAATTCTTTCACCCTCCCGCACTTCTGACTGTACCCAGTGCTTGTATAAGTAAATAAACAAATCTTTAAAAAAAAAAGAAAGAATTAGAAAAAAATTGGTTACCTGGAGAGAAATGGTCTGGTTTAACAGTTAAATATATTCAGTGAAATAATATTCAGTGAGGTTGATACTGAAATTGGGAGAGGGAGAGCAACCAAAAGCCTAACTTTCAGCTTGTTGCTGGA